TCTGGAATACTCATACTTCTCAATGTTGTCCATAGCTTGTCATGATCCACACAATCAAAAGCCTTCGTGTAGTCAATAAAGCACAGGTAAACATCCTTCTGGTATTCTCTGCTTTCAGTCAAGAGTATAATGGGTTCAAATTAGCTGCAGCTTCCTCCTCCCTTTTCATGTCTCATTTGTCTTCATTACTCTTAACCACTGTCTGAGGTTATATTCTCATTTGTTCATTGTTTATTGGTAATACACCTCAGTGAACAAGGAAGACCATAGAAGAATTGATGCTTTTGAGTTATGGTATTGGAGGAGAATATCGAAAGTACCATGGACTGCCAAAAGAACCAATAGATCCGTTTTGGAAGAAATGCAGCCAGAGTGCTCCTTGGAGGCCAGGATAGCCAAACTTCGTCTCTCATACTTCGGACATATTGTCAGGAGGGACCAGTCACTGGAGAAGGATATCATGTTTGGCAAGGTGGAGGGACCGAGAAAAAGCGGAAGACCCCCCAACGAGGTGGACTGACCAAGTGGCAGCATCGATGGACTCAAGCCTGGCAGCAGTAGTGAGGTTGGCCTGGGATCCAGCACTGTTTCCATCTGCTGTGCACAAGGTCGCTCTGAGTTGGTGTCTACTCGATGGCACCTAACAACAACATAGTATATGCTCCATGAGAACAAGGATCTTCACTATTTTTATATTCTTATTCCCACATCCTGAGACAGCAAACACACAGATATGGGATTAAATAAATCTCAGCTCTGTTTTTGAGCAATTTACTTCACTTTTCTGGGCCTAATTTTCCTCAGCTATGTTGTTGTTGTTATGTGCTGTGGAGTCGATTCCAACTCACAGTGACCCTGTACACAGTTTCCGAGGCTGTACATCTTTACGAGAGCAGAACGCCTCATTTTTCTCCCGCGGAACCGCTGGTAGTTTCGAACTGCTGACCCTGTGGCTCACAGCCCGATTCGTAACCACTACGCTACAGCAGAAATCCGCATCTTTCTCCCGTGGAACAGCTGGTAGTTTCGAACTGCTGACTGTGAGATTAGCAGACCGATTGGTAACCGCTACACTACCAGAGCTTCTTTTTCCTCAACTATAAAATGGGAATAAATAATGCTACCTGAAAGAGTAGTCTTGAAGGTTAAAAGGGACAAAGTTTGTAAAAGTACAACGTCTTTTGTAGAGGCAGTAAGAGGACCGTCTTTTCCCAGTCACACATGTTTAAGATATTTAGTGAATCAAATGAGGCCCTTACCTCCCGTCTACATATTCCCCGATATATTTGCTCCCGGTGTACTGCATAGCTCCTGCTTCTAGCCTTCGCGGGTTGGGAACCTCAGTCTTAGTGTACTCGTCTTCACTATGACAACCAGAAAGAATGGGTGGAGCCTACTTAAAGCCCCTCCTACTAGAGTACGCCGACTTTCATGGTATTGCGCACGCTCTGTCACCAGTGGTTGGGTTGAGCACTGCGCCTGCGTGCCCCAGACGCATGCGTAGTCGCTGCTTGGCCCTCACGGCCGCTGGTAAGGGGAGTTCAAGGAGACCGGGACGAGGTTAGTGAGGGTACCTCGTCTGGGTCCGGGTTACAGCCATCATGCCGGGAATAGTGGAGCTGCCCACTCTGGAGGAGCTGAAAGTGCAGGAGGTGAGGCTCGTCAGGTAAACAGGCAAGCAGGACAGTAGGCTGCGGTCTTCCGGGCCAGGGCCCAGCTTTGCATTGCCTCAGCCGACCTTGCGTCCCGCATTTCCAAACCTTTGACCCCCCTACACATATACTGGTAGAGATCCCCTCCACAGTTCCGGGAATCCCTGCCAACCCTCCCCCCACCCGACTCCCCGATTTCCATCCAGCCGTGGTTGTAGAACTCCCACTACCGACCTTGCGACCTGTCTCTTTCCGTGAATAACAGTGCTTTTACCTCCAGCCAAGCGCTTTACAGCCCCTGAGACAGTCACCCAAAGAATTGTCGTTGGTGCGGTAACCTAGGCTCTGAGTGCATGGGAGTGGAGCGAGGGAGCTGCACATAAAGAGGTGGTGCTCGGAATTGCATTTGCCATTAGCCTTGGGATATTTAGTGAACAAATGAGGCCCTTACCTCCCGTTTACATACTCCCCATGTGTTTGCTCCCCGTGTACTGCCTGGCTCCTACTTCTAGCTTCTAGGTAGTTCAATGTGCACATGCAGTGGAAATGAGAGGCATAGCCCCTACTCTCATAGGCTTTATGATCTAATAATACACAGAAAGAGGCAATCACAGTACTGTGCTGTGTAGTGTACTCTAAGCGAAGTAAAGGTAGTATAATTATAAACAACATTTTCAAATCTTTACTAGATGCCAAGCAGGATGTGAATGTCGTTCCATGTATGAATTCATTAAATCTTCACAGCAACTCTAGGAAATAAGATGGATCGCTGCATATCATGGTTAAAGAAACAGACCTGACAGTAGAAACGGATTGGCTCAAGGTCACATAGCTAGTAAGTGGTAGAGCTGCAACTGGGGGAACTCAGCTTGATTTAAAACCTGTACTTTTAAACCACTGTGCCATTGAGTTCATTCCGACTCATAGTGACCCAAAAGGACAGACTAGAACTGCCCCAAAGGGTTTCCAAAGCTATACTTTTTAAGGAAGCAGACAGCGACAGTTTTCTCCCTCCATCAGTTGTTGAGTTTGAACCACTGAACTTTTGGTTAGCACTGGAGTGCATGCGTAACTACTGCATCACTGCGGCTCCTTTGAACTATTATTTTGTTGTTGGTGTGTGCTGTCATGTTGGTCCCAATTCATAGTGACCCAGTGTAGGGTTTCCAAGAAGTGGCTGGTAGGTTTGATTTGCCTTCCTTGCAGTTAGCAGTCCTGTGCTTTGCTTACAGCACAACACCAGGACCCCTTTAAACTACTATGTTGTTGTTTAGTGCCATCGAGTTGGTTCTGACTCATAGTGACCCTGATGAATATGAATTGCTGACCTTGTGGTTCCAACCAGTCTTGAGGTCCAGTGCTTTATCCTATAGTGCCACACCGGGACTCCTAAACTACTATTTTTTTGTTAAGTGCTGTTGAGTCAGTTTTGACTTGTAGCAACCCTGTGTAGGGTTTCTGAGGAGCGACTGGTGTATTTGAACTGCTGATCTTGTGGTTTGCAGTCCATTGCTTATCCCACAGTGCCATACCAGGAGTCATGAACTACTATTGTTGTTGTTGTTAAGTGTTGTTCAGTCGGTTCCAACTCAGAGCGACCCAGTATAGGGTTTCCAAGAGGGACTGGTGAGTTTGAACCACTGACCTTGTGGTTCAAACCGACCTTGAAGTCCTGTACCTATCCTACAGGGCCACACCAGAAGTTCATAAACAACTACTATAGTGTAGGCAAAAGCCCAAAAGAGTGAAAAAGCTGAACAGAACTTGTTTATTTATGGAGCCAACTGCTGTTTGATGTGACCCTCCTGTTGATGTAGATAAAGCATAAGGCTCTGAGCCTAGAGGGCTACCTTGGTCTGAGGGCTGGAAAGTAATGTCTTCAAGACCAGACTGGGCAGTTTGAACTCTGCCCTGTGAGTGAGAGGTGGCAGGTGTTAAAGGTGAGGAGTCTCATGGCAGCTCTGCACTGAGGAAAAGGGAGGACAAGACTAAAGATTATGTGCCAGAAATCATTTACCAGATGGCAGTAAGTTTTATATACATTACCTCATTTAATCTTCTTAATCACTTTGGGAATGGTTGATTGGTTACTTGCTGTGGAGTTGGTTCAGACTCACAGCAATCCTGCATAGGGATTCCAAGGCTGTAAGTCTTTACCGGAGCAGAGACCCTCATCTTTCTTCGGTGGAACAGCTGGTAGTTTCGAACTGCTGACCTTGCGGTTCCCAGCCCGATTCGTAACCTCTACGCTACCAGAGCTCCTTGCAGCTCCCTCATTTGTTCCATTTGCTTTAGCATCTCTACACTGGAGAACAAATTTCAGTGTCTCTTCTGACATCCATTTTGACCTTTTCCTTCTTTCTTGTCTTCTCACTGACTTTTTGCTTTCTTCATGTATGATGTTCTTGATGTCATCCCACAACTCTTCTGGTCTTCAGTCTTTAGTGTTTAATATATCAAATTTGTTCTTCAGATGATCTCTAAATTCAGGTGGGATATATTCAAAGTCATATTTTGGCTCTCGTGGACTTGTTTTCATTTCCTTAAGCTTCAGTTTGAATTTGCATATGAGTAATTGATGGTCTGTTCCACAATCTGCCCCCGGCCTTGTTTTCACTGATGATATGGAGCTTTTACATTGTCTCTTTCCGCAGATGTAGTCAATTTGATTTCTATGTATTCCATCTGGCGAGGTCCATGTGTATAGTCGTCCCTTATGCTGTCTAAAGAAGGTATTTGAAATGAAGAAATACACTACCATAGCAACTAGTATTTTCCTGAGATGAAGAAATTATTAGCTGAATTCAAGAACTTTAATAAAATGACATTTACTGAGAGGCTGAAGGGGGTCAGTGCTGCTGTGGACTGTCATTCTTTTATTTCCCATCCTACCATGAAGCTGGGTTAACCTTAAAGCCGTCCTTGTTGAAACACACTTTATTTGGTCCAAACAGCTAAGGTTCATCTTCATGCAACTATTCTCTATTGGGTATAAATTTGCCTATAGGACCACTCACACAGGTGAATTGAGAAACAGATAATTATATAAAAAGAAATAAAATACAAGACTCAGTATGAATAAGTGTTGTGAAAGAGGGACAGACATGGTTTAAGAGTACTATCTAAAGTTGGATCTAAATTCAAGACCTGATTGCTATGTTTATCACCTTCATTTTGTTGTTGTTAGGTACCATCAAGTTGGTTTCGACTCATAGTGACCCTACATACAACAGAATGAAACAGTGTCCAGTCCTGCTGCATCTGTATAATTGTTAAGTTTAAGCCCATTGTTTCAGTAACTGTGTCAGCCCATCTCTTTTTAACTGACTCTCCACTTTACAAAGTATGGTGATCATTCCTGACAAGAAGATACAAAGTCTCTTCTAAGGAGCATTCTGGCTGTACTTCTTCCAACACAGATTTGTTCTTCTGGCAGTCCATGGTACTTTCAGTATTTTTCTCTTAACACTCTGACTCAAATGTATCTATGCTTCTGTGGTCTTACCTTTTTCACTGTCCAACTTTCACACGCATATGAAGCTGTTGAAAATACAAAGGTGCACACACCTTAGTCCTCAGAGTGATATCTTTGCTCCTTAACCTTTTATAGAGGTCTTGTGCAGCACATTTGCCTAATGCAATATGTCCTTTGATTTCTTGACTACTGCTTCCATGAGTGTTGATTATGGATCCAAACAAAATGAAGCCTTTGACAACTTCAATCTTTTCTCCATTTATATGGATGGTATTTATTTGTCCAGTGGTGAGGATTTTTCTTTTCTTTACATTGAGGTGCAACCCACAATGAAGGTTGTAGTGTTTGATCTTCATTGGTATTTTAAATCCTTTTTACTTCCAGCAAGCTTCTCAGATTATTTGCTCAGCATACATATTAAATAAGTATGGTGAAAGGATACAATCCTGGCACACACCTTTCCTGATTTTAAACCATTAGGTGTTCCCTTGTTCCAAGACTACCTTTTGGTCGATGTACAGGTTCCTTATGAGCACAATTAAGTCTTCTCAGATTCCCATTCTTCACAGTGCTATCCATAGCTTGTTATGATCCACACAATAGAATGCCTTTACGTAGTCAATAAAGTACATGTGAACATTTTTCTGGCATTCTCTGCTTTCAGCCAATATCCATCTGGTGTCAGTAGTGATATCCCTTGTTCCACATCCTCTTCTGTATCTGATTGGCATTTCTAGTAAGTCCATGTCAATGTACTGCTACAGTTGTTTTTAAATTCTCTTGAGCAGAATTTTACTTGCATGTGATATGAATGATATTGTTTGATGATTTCTGCAGTCTGTTGGGTCCATTCTTTGGAATGGACACAAAGATTGATCTCTTTGAATCCGCTGGCCAGGTAGTTGTCTTCCAGATTTCTTGGCATAGATGAGTGAGTGTTGAAACATTTCAATTTGTATTCTGCCAATTCCTGGAGGCTTGTTTTCACTAATAGCTTCAGTTTTTCCTGTCAATTCCTGGAGAATAGTTTTTCGCTAATACATTCCAATCACCAGTAATTATCTTGATTGCATTTTTAAAATCAATTTTAGACTAAAGATGGTAGAATTCTTCAATTTCATCACCACTGGCTTTAATGGTTGATGCATAAATTTGAATAATAGTGATATTAATTAGTCTTCCTTATAGGCATATGGATATTATCCTATGTTGATCTTGAAATGCTGTTTTTGACGAAAAATACGACTCCATTCCTCTTTAGTTTGTCACTCCTGGCATAGTAACCACATGATTGTTTGATTCAAAATGGCTAATACCAGTCCATTTCAGTTCACTAATATCTAGAATTTAGGTCTTTGTGTGTTTTGTTTCTTTTTTGATGACTTCCACTTTTCGTTGATTCATACTTCGTACATTACATTCCACATTCTAATTATTTATGGATGTTTGCAGCTGTTTTTTTGTTTTTGTTTTTTTTTTTAATTTTTGAGTTTTGCCCCATCAGCAAATGGAGGTCCTGAAAGCTTTGTTCCATCCACATCATGAAGGTCAATTCTACTTTGAGAGTCAGGTCTTCCACAGTTGTATTTTTGAATTCCCTCCAACCTGAAAGGCTCGTCTTCCATCATCACCATATCAGATAATGTCCCAATGTTGTTCATAAGGCTTTTTGGAGGCTAACCTTTCAGAAGTGGTTTGCCTTTCCTTCTTCCCAGTCTGTTTTAGTCTGGAAGCTCAGTTGAAACCTGTCCTCCTTGAGTGACTTGCTGATATTTAAAATGCTGGTGGCATAACTTTCAGATTCACAACAGCACACAAGACATCCCAGTACAACAACAAAGTGGTGGCCACTTTGATTAGCTAATTTAAACCTTTACAGAGATAGATGTTTTAGTTTTAAGATGAGGTGATAAAGGGAACAGAGAAAGCACATCTGTGCATAATGTAAGATTTGACTAAATGGCATTTGAAGAATGACATTTATGGACAGAGATGGAGAGGAGAGTTTTCTAAGTGGAGGGTACGATCTGAGCAAAAGTAAGGATCTGTGAAACTGCAGGGACCAAAATAACAGTTCAGTGTTTTCAAAGAACAGCAAATAGTCCCATTTGAAGTGTTTGGGTAAGAAGGCTGGAAAGCTTGCACCCAGAAAATGTTGAATACCAAGTAAAAAGTTTATTTTTAAGCCGGACTCTTTTGAGGGTTTTGTTGCGATTTATTTTAATAGCAGTGTAAAATAGTTATTGTATTTTAGAAGATCGTCTAGCAGCTCTGAAGAATGGAATGAAGAAGGAAAAGAAGCACAATGAAACTGTTGAGTAATTGAGGACGAGATCAATGACCCCAACATAATTGATGACTGTACTTCCAGAGAGGAAAGATGACTATATCTAGAGCGATCAACTTTAGCAATGGGTGAGATATTGGCAGCAGGAAAGGGAGAGGAGTCAGTGTCAGATTTGTCCGTACAATGGGGGAAGTTAGAGGAGAGCAGTTTTGAGGGCAAATTGAATACAGTTTGGAATTCATCGAAATTTAAGTTGTGGCATATCCCCTGTGGGAAAAGTAGTCAGAAGTTTAAGGCTTCTGACTACTAGAAAATTGTAGGATAAATTGAGTAAGAATAAGTTAGTATTTATGATGTACTGTATACTAGGTATAGGACTCCTGGTATGGCGTTATAGGATAAGCACTGGACTGCATCACAGAGTCAATGGTTCAAGCCCACCAGCTGCTGAACTTGATGTCACTTAACAACAACAACATGTGATGCACTAGGAAAGGAGCCCTGACAGCACAGTTGGGCAGCTACTAACTGCAAAGTCAGTGGTTTAAACCCAGCAGCTGCTCTGCAGAAGAGAGATGAGGTTGTCTGCTCCCGTAAAGAGTTACAGTATCCGAAACCCTAGGGAGCAGTTCTACTCTATCCTATAGGTCAGCAGTTCAAATCCACCATATGAGACTTTCTGCTCCTGTAAAGATTTACAACCTTGGAAACCCCATGCGGAGTTGCTATGAGTTGGAATCCGCTTGATGTCAGTGAGTTTGGTTTGGATAGTGTGTGAATCAATTACTTCATCTTTCCTTGCCTTCTGTTTTACTAAGCTGGATAAAGAGCTCAGAAATAGATTTTGTAGACTTTTCTCTTATAAATGTAAAAATTATTAATAAATGTGAATCGTATCCATTAGTGTATTAAGTAAAGCATAATCACTATGACAGATTTAAACTTTGCTTTAGAAATGTAATAGGTCAGCTTTGGAAACTCTGTTAATAGTCTGTTGCATTTATAGATTAATGAAAAATAATTCTGAAAACTTCAGTCTTTCTTGGTAGTTTTAACAAAACCAATTAGGATTAGAAAGAAACTTCTTTAACAAGGTTAAGACTATGTCTTAGATACCACCAGAAGATAACATACCTAACAGTGCTTTAAAGTTTAGAACAAGACATGGATGCATACTGTAATTGCTGTTAATCTGTGTTTGCCCTGGAGGTTTTGGTCAGAGCAATAGGATAGGAAAAGAGAAGATATAAAAATCAGAAAGGAAAAGAAACAGTTACTGTTTGTACAGTTTTTTAGTGAATACTGAATTTTGTATCAGAATTGACAGGGCTTTAGTAAGATAACATGAGAGAATATACAACTTGTGCAAACAGTAACCAAATGGAAAATTTAATAGAAAAAGTATCCTGCTTCAATAGTATCAGAAATGCCTAGTATAGGTCTCTGTTGTAAATAAAACTTCCTGCTCTCTTGGAGAAGGCAATGAAGCAGTAAGTGAAAGACATAGAAGATACTTATATTGTGATAAGTACCATGAAAAAAACAAACTGGTATAGTGGACTAGAGTGACCACTGCTGCTTTCTTAATATAAGATGATTAGGGAAAGACAAAATCTAAGCAGAGATTTGAAATGATAAAAATGTCCATTCCCCCTTCATTTAATGTATAATTAAATTCAGAACCATTCCAGTGTATCTGTTCATTTGGAAGACTAGCCCAGGTGATTTTAGAAAGGAAGAATAATGAGAATGTCTTAACTAAAGTGTTCTGTTAAAGCCACAGTAATTAAAACATACGACTGGCATAGGAATAGGTAGTGGAGAAAAGAGCCCCTTAGGACCCTTGCTGCAGCAGATACTAGATAGGACTCAGACTATGTGCAGTGCCCTGTGAGCTAGCTGTAATTAGTAATACAATCCAAGCAAGTGTATTGGAATGCAAGTGCAGGAGACTGGTATAGTTATAGGGGTGGATGTCCTTGGGTATGTTCCAGGTTATGGAGCAGTCACTAGAAAGGATGGCATGTTGGGCAAGGTGGAGGTCAGTGGAAACAAAGAAAACCCTCCATAGAGTGATGCGGTTGTTGTATAATCCTTGGTGTGGTCTCAGCCATACCAAAGATTGTGAGGATGGCAGAGGGCCAGGCATTGTTTCACTCTGTTACACCTGGGGTCTCCATGAGTCAGCCAGCTCAACAGCAACATAATTTTTTTAAATTGACACCTTTTAATACTTAACAGTTAGTAATAAATTGCTGGACACAGTGCTTTTGCTGATCCCTCTAGTCTAAGGACTTTATATATATTCTTATATTGTTGTTTTTAATTCCTGCAGAGGAGACAGATGAAAGCTCTCAGAGCTGATTCCGTCCCCTATATCACAGAAACTTCTGTTTCCTTTCTGGGATCCACTCATATCATAAGGATCTAAGGATTCCATTAGGACTTCCATCTCCTCACCTCTACAGTTGGGATAGTAGTATTAATTTGGAGTCACTGGGTGGTACAAACAGTTACTGTGTTCAGCTGCTAACCGAAAAGTTGGTTAGAGGCCCCCCAGAGGTGTCTTGGAAGAAAGGCCTGGCGATCTACTTTTTAAAATTTAGTCATTGAAATCCCTGTGAAGTACTGTTCTTCTTTGACAGACATAGAATTGACATGAGTTAGAATCGATTCAATAACAACTGTTTGTTTTGCATTGTTTTGAGTATCAGTTTGATGAGCTTCTTTGCAGATGAAGAGGATGCTGTATGTGAAAGAGCTTTGTGATCTGTAAATACTGTAGATCATCAGGATTATTATGGGAGCCCCCCTGTCTTAAGTGTTCTTGGTAAAGTCAGAACAATACTACCTTTGTGTTCCCTCTGTTTTGATCAGTAGGAAGTCAAGTTGGGAAAGTGATATTCTGGTTCACCTGGTCTGTGGTCTTTCTCCATTTGTTCCTTTCCAGGTGAAAGTCAGTTCTGCTGTCCTTAAAGCTGCAGCTCACCACTATGGTGCTCAGTGCGACAAGGCCAACAAGGAGTTCATGCTCTGCCGCTGGGAGGAGAAAGATCCAAGGCGGTGTTTAGAGGAAGGCAAGCTTGTCAACAAGTGTGCTTTGGACTTCTTTAGGTAAAAATCTTTTGACATTAATGCCTGTGTGCTTGAAACATCAAGGTGTACATATCTATGAACATTCAGCTGATTATTAAATGGAAAGAAAAATTTAGTAAGAAGTACGTAGATTTTGAAATCTGATAGACCAATGTAAGTATTCAATAAGCAATGTAGTTCATTTGGGTTTATTTATTTGGTTAATTGGCAAGTTGTTTTATCACGTGAATCTCAATTTTCAAATGTGTAAAGTAATACCTAACATATTATAGCTGTGAAAAAAATTGAGAATCACAGTGTGTTAGCAGGAATTTACTAGATGCATTACTAGATTGTTACCATTATTGTTGCTACAGAACACACAATTATGATGGAAAGAAAATGGTGCTCAAAGTCAAGTTTTTGGCTAAGCCACTGTGCTTGATTAAGGAGCTGTGGAAGCATAGTGGTTATGAAGTGGATTGATAACCTCAAGGTCAGCTAGTTCGAAACTACCAGTGGTTCTATGGGAGAAAGATGAGGCTTTCTGCTCCCCTAAAGATTAAAGCCTCAAAAACTTTACACAGGGTCGCTATGAGCCAGAACCAACTCCATGGCACACCACCATTGTGCTTGATTACTTTTAAGTGGAAAACTTAACCTAAATTATATAATTATAGAAATATCTGTTGAAACTGTATTAAGAAGGGTCAGAAACTCAACTCAAAGGGAGTTGACTCATGTGACTATAAAGTCCAGAAATAGAAGTGTCATCAGGCAGTACTGGATCCAAGGGCTTAAATAATTTCACAACTACTTGGTGTCTTTTTGTCTCTCCTACTCTTCACTTAACTTTGGTAGCGTAGTGGTTACGAATCAGGCTGCTAATCTCAAGGTTGGCGGTTTGAAACTACCAGCTGTTCCGAGGGAGAAAGAGGAGGCTTTTTGCTACCGTAAAGATTTATAGCCTCTGAAACCCTATACAGGGTCACTATGAGTCAGAACTGACTCCACAGCATATAACAACAACAACAACAGCAACAACTCTCCACTTAAGCTCTTAGTGCTGCTTTTCTTTCTTGATCTCATTTTCAAAGACACTCTGACTTTAATGTAGCAGAAGCACCACTAAGTTAGCAAACCTAGACACAGAGTGCCTGCGGACTTCCCAGGACTGAGTCTGATTTGCCTGGCTGCTTGACTTCATATGCTTATCTTTTTTTTAAGCAGCTGTGTTTCAAATTCTCGAAGGGTCTGGCTGGACGGGCCTGAGGTAGAGTTAGTTTCAAATCACATTGCTAAGAGATAGAAGGAGTTCTTCCCCAAAGGAAACCAGCTGCTCTGCGGGAGAAATATGAAGCTTTCTGCTCCTGTAAAGATTTACAGCCTCGGAAACTCTGTACAGGGTCACTATGAGTCGGAACCGACTCCATGGCACATAACAACAACAAGGCATTGTTGTGATGGCTGGGTAGGCCAAACCCACCGGCGGAAAATCAGATTGCTTAGCACAGAGATGTTTTCCCTTTTTTCTTGCTTCTGCTGTTGTCTATACACAAAGGTATCTTTATGCTACAGTCAGAGAGTGTGTACATTGTAAAATTCATCTTGTATTTGACACTGCTGGGGACACTGTTGGTATATAGTCTTTCTCATTTTCACAGCTATGTAATAGTCTACCAGTGGATAACATAATGTACCTGATCAGTTTTGTACTGTTTTAGATACATCTGCAGTGATTACCTTTGTGTGTAGCTGTTTTCACCTTTTGATTAATTCCTTGGCATACATTTCCAGCAGTGAAATTATTCTATGAAAAGCTTTTGAAGTTTTACTTAGGATTCTTGAACTCGGTTGTCTTTTAAAAAAAAAAAAGAGTTGGGTCAGTTCTTGCTGTCCTCTGCACTGCATCCTGATATCATAGCCTCATCAGTTTTGCATGTTGCTTAAATACCTGACTTGTACAAAATAGGATCTAGTCTAGCTTGAATATATATCGATTTGATTGTTAGTAAGGTTTATTTATTTATTTATTTTTAATTTCTTTTCTAAGCAAAGCTCTTTCCTGTTGGACCCCAGGGTTTGTTGTTGTTAAGTGCTGTCGAGTCGACTCTGACCCATAGCAATGCTGTATAGGGTTTCCAAGGAGCAGCTGGTGAGCTTAACTGCCGAATTTGCAGTCTAGTACATTAACCCACAGCACCACACCAGGACATTTAAATGGGAAATATTGAGATATGACAAACTCCTAAGGTACCTAGCTGTCTCCATGAGAGGAAGTTCGCACTGCTGAAGCTGTTGGTGCAGATGTTAGTACGTAATTGTCTGTGGGTCTGGGTGCTGGAGTAGCAGGGTCCAGAACAAGGACCTTAATACTGGAGTAGTGATTTGCAGGCCTGTTTATGCTGCAGCATATTGGAAATATTAGCTCACCACCAGAATGACTCTCAGGTAGAGGTCAGCTGGGTGCAGGTTTGTGTACGATGGAAATCCAGGTCATTGAGGTTAGAGAGATAATTCACAAAAGCTCCATAAGACTTTGCTCTTCCTTCTTCCTTCCTGGTGTTTCTCTCCTCCCACTCCTTTCTACGGGTAAGATGGTGTGTAGAATGCCTGGAAGGGCATACAAAGAACTGGTGACATTGCTGCTCCTAGAAAGGGAACTGAGTAGATGGAGGACAGGAATGGAAAGCAGATTTTTTTTTTTTTATTATGTAATAACTCTTAGCCCCTCCCCCCCCAATTGTGTGTGTGTTTCTGAAGCAGATGTCTTATTTTATTTTAGGTTAACATGAGAGTACAAATTGCCCTAACTATAATGTTTAACTCAGTTTTATCCATATTGACTTCCCATTTTCAAGAATTATCATTTGAAATGACAAATCAAAATGCAACTTGAAAAACACACAACCTTTTTATTCTGATTTGGGTGAAAGTTTACAGAGCAAATTTGTTTAACAATTCATACACACTTTAATTCATATTTATTGTGATTCTTACAATGTTCCAGCACTCTCTCCACTTCCTCCCTGTGCTTCCTAGTTCCATTCCATTTGGAACCAGTAAGCATTTCCCTTCTCTCTTATTCTTTCCTGCCTTCTGAGCTTTATCCCTGGATAATTGCTGCCTTTTGATCTCATATGGTTGATTGTTCTAAGGAATGCATACATACCTTCCTGGTGTTCACCATACAGGCCTTTCTATCTTTGGCTGAAAGTTGAGCCATAGGATTGCATTCAGTTCCAGTTTTAAAGGGTGTCTAAGGGCTATAGTCTTAGGGGTTCCACTAGTCTGTTCAGACCAGTAAGCCTGATCTTAAGATTCTGAGTCTTATTCCACAGTTGTCTCTCACTCTACCCAGGACCACCTGTTGTGATCCATTTCAGAGCAGTTAGCAATGGTAGCGGGGATACTATCTAATTCTGCCCTCAGTCTTGGTGGTCCAGTAGCCCTTTGGACTAATTGTTCCCTTGTGCCTTTGAATTTCTTCACACTTCTTTGCTCCAAGGAAAAGAGACCCAATGTTGCTGTTAAGTTGGGTTACTGAGAAGCGGCTGGTGAGTTAGGTAATTTTGAACTGTCAACCTTGCTGTTCAAACTAACCTTGTAGTCGAGTGTGGTATCTCACAGCGCCACAGCAGGACTCCTTAAATGTTGTACCTTAAATGGCCTTCACAAGCTCTAAATGCGGCACTTAACAACAACAACAAAGTGTTTAGGGAGTCCTGATGTGATGCTGTAGTATAAGCACTGGACTGCTAATCGCAGGATTGACAGTTCAAACCCCAGTACCTACTCCTCAGGTCATTATGAGTTGACAGCACTTAACAACAACAACAAAAGTGTCTAGAAGGTTCTTGGTGTGACTCTGTAGGATAAGTACTGGGCTGCTAACCAAAAGATCTGCTGTTTGCTGCTGCTTGGAAACCAGCATATACAGGTTTGCTATGAGTTGACACCTGCTGGACAGCACTTAACAACAGTAAGTTCCTTCTTCACTATGCAATATGTACTCTTTTTGTCTTTTCTTCCTTCTTCACTATGCAATATGTACTCTTTTGAGCCTTTTAGAGAAAGAAAAGGTTATGTTGATGTGGTGAGACAGACAGAAAAAGAGAGAGGTTGAAAGTTTTGAATGAGGCTTTGGCCACTTCTCGTACTCTGTCACTCCTCACTGTTTTCCTCTATGAAGTGAATGACTTGGCTTCCTTAGACCATCTCAGGGCTCCTTCCTTCTTCAGACAGTCCAGGAACAATTGCTGTGCGGACGGTGCTGCGGGCTTCCTGGAACGCTGCAAGAAGCCCTCCATATGGTTGCTCCATTGAGGAAGGGCTGCTCGGAATTTCTTCCACCGCCTCTAGTAAGGCTCTTAGACAAAATAATGGGATTTTTTATTTTACAACAATATGCATTTGTTTGATTACTAGCACACTTGAATGGCAAGAGAAGGGAATATCCATTTTACATAAAAATTATTCTTTTGCCAATCATTTTTGATGGTCACAAAATGAATTATTTGCTGTCCTCTTTCTTAAGATAGTATACCAAATATAATTTAACTTAACTTTTTTAGATGACAAGGATTAAATCTTGGCAGTTTGTTTCTTTGCTTATTTTGTTCAGGCATTAATAGAATAAGCTATTTTGAGGCATGTAGAGCAGTTTGGCTTATATATTGAATGACTAGGATCTTCTGCATCTTAGTTAGCGTATTTATTTACTTTTTATAATCCTCTCTCTTTTTTACATCATCTGTCACTCCTGACTTCTGTCAGCATGCCCATGTCCTCCTTTTCTGAATTTGCTGTCCTGATAATCTTTAAAGAAAAGAATAAATAGGCCCCAGTGAGGAGCTTCTCTCTGATGAAGTCCAGGCATCTTACGATACAACATTGGCTTTTCTTTCCTATTTGTTTTTGCTATGTAAAACAATTGGTTTATGTTCCTCAGAAAACTTTTCTTGTTCGCTGATTTTTAAGTTGTCTAGTGCTCTGGTAGGGTTGTTATTGTTGTTAGGTGCCATTGAGCTGGAACTGACCGATAGCGACGATATGCACAGCAGAATGAAACACTGCCTGATCCTGGGCCAACCTCACTGCTGTTGCCACTTGGCCAGTCCATCTCATTGGAGGTTTTCCTCTTTTTCTCTGACCCTCCACCTTAACAAACATGATATCCTTCTCCAGCGCCTGGCCCTCCTGAAAATATGTCTAAATTATGAGAGATGAAGTTTAGCCATCTTGACCTCTAAGGAGCACTCTGGCTGCACTTCTTCCAAAACGGATTTATTGGTTCTTTTGGCAGCCCATGGCACCCTCAGTATTCTCCTCCAGCACCATAGCTCAGAAGCATCAATTCTTGTACAGTCTTCCATATTCACTGTCCAGCTTTTGCATGCATATGAGGTTATTGAAAACACCATGGCTTGGGTCAGGTGCACCTTAGTCCTCAAGCTGACATCTTTGCTCGGTAGCATAGTGGTTACGAATTGGGCTGCTAACCTCAAGGTTGGCAGTTCAAAACTACCAGCTGTGCCACAGGGTAGTTGAGGCTTTCTGCTCCCGTAAAGGTTTACAGCCTCGGAAACCCTGTGCAGGGTCATTATGGGTTGTAACAACAAGTGAAGTAAGAGCATTTATTCCTGTCCCATTAAAAAAGCAAAGAAATCTATTTGAGGTCTGTACCTACTTCTCCCCACCCTGTTTTTCTGTTTGTCAATGTTTTGCAATATGCTAACCCTAACCTATTCCTCTTCTCCAGGCAGATAAAGCGTCACTGTGCGGAGCCTTTTACAGAATATTGGACCTGCATTGATTATTCTGGCCTACAGTTATTTCGTCACTGTCGCAAACAGCAGGCAAAGTTTGATGAGTGTGTGCTGGACAAACTGGGCTGGGTGCGCCCTGACCTAGGAGAACTGTCAAAGGTAAAAAAAAAAAAAAAGCTTGTTGCAATGGTATCACTCAGACTAAGGGCTGGATAATGGCAGGAGTTGAGAAAAGAGTCTCTGGGAGTAGATTTAAGATATCAGAAATCCAAATTTACCAAACAGATTGTGATCATACACAATCCAGAAAGGGGTTTATTTAATAGAAATAATCCTTAAATCAGTCTTGTAGCATGTATAGATTTGTTTTGGTTAATGAGTTAATTACAGAACAGAAATGAGTAGAGGAGGATAAACAGAAGGTTAGAGCCAATGTCAATGAAAAAGCTGCTGAGGTTATTGTGTTGTTGAGTATATAAGAAGATCCAGGCTTTTGTTAGCTTTTTTTGTGAACATAACTAAAGTCTATATGTCATTTTAAAAAGACTTATGCCTATAGTTTAAAATTGAGCACCATGGTTCCATAGGGTAGGCACTGGACTATGAACTACAGGGTTGGCAGTTCGAGCCCACCAGCTGCTCTGTGGGAGAAAGATGAGGCTTTCTACTCCCTCAAAGATTTACAGCCTTGGAAATGCTACACATGTCACTATGAGTTGGAATTGACTCGATGACACTAACAATAACATCTTTTAAAAAGTGTGTTTTCCTAGTTTTTCTTTTATGTATCTTATCTAAGTTGTGATACCACCGTCTATTGAAACATCAGAGCTAGGTACCTGAATGTCTATTCTTCACACCCCTCTCTCACTCCATAGAATCATCAGTTCCTACTGGTTAGCAAGCATCTCCTGGGATGTTCTGCTCTGCTGTTATCTTACTTTCAGACAGGAGTTCTGAACATGGACTACATGGACTCCTGGAAGGGGAGAGTGGATCGTTTGGATTTTAGGAGTCAGTGCATCCTTTGAAACTGAAGAATTTAGGACATGATCACATTTTCACCATTGGAATGATCTGTGTGGAAAAGAAACCTTATGTCACTTTCTTTTTAAAAAACCTTTTAGGAATTCCTGTTGCTTGTAAGATCAAGTATCCTCTCCTTACAAGGCCCGTTATGATCTCACCCATCCCTACTGCTTGTGCCTCATCACTCTCCATTCCCGTGGGGACAGCACTGTAGCAAGATGTGGAGGGGAAATCTCAGGTTTGGGAGCAACACAGATTGGAATCTGAGTCCCACTACTTAATTGCTGTGAGATCTTGTGCAAATTGCATTCCTCTTTTCAGTGGTATTACATCTACAAAAGGTGCTGAGCATGCTTATTTTTCTGTGAAGATCAAGTCACTATACCTTTGTGAACCTATGTCAGGCACAAAAGTCCACAATTAATGTTAATTCCTTCTACTTTGTGTTTTTGCTTTTTATATCTGGAATGATGGTCTTTTCTCTAGATACCTTCTTTTGCTGTACTGAACAAATTAAAAATTAAAAAGTAGTGGAGCTTGTATATTTAACAAAAAAACCTACTTTTTTTGTCTCATTAAAGGAGATTAAGAAGTCATATTATTAAGGCATATTTATTTCTGAATCTTTGTTTTGGCACTGCAAAACTGTAGAATAATAAAAAAAAATATTGCTGTCTTTAACTTTTTAAAAAGTTTATTTCTTTAAGTGGATTATCATTTGTTTTATACTTAAATCCAATACCTAAACTCTTTAGAAAGTGATACTCTGGTGGAGAAAGCCTGTATTGTAGCTTCATTCATTTTGCATGTATGCTTCCGCTGGCTTGCCTTTTCCTGCTCTATTCCCCTGGTGAATTCCCTCTCATTATTCTAGTGTCAGCTTAAGATTTCTTGTCCACTTTGATGTTTCTGATTGTCCTAAGCAGATTTGCTTTCTTTCACCCATAATCATGTCATCCTGACAATAATATTAATAATAATTTATGGAACACCGACATCAGGTATTTTGTGTACCATCATCTCTCATCCAAGTGGGGCTCTAAGAGCTCCATTTTACAAATGAGAAATTGGAGGATAAATAAACAGTCCACAACCGTTTACCTAGTAAATATTTTTAGTACGTACCTCTATTCCTTTTCTTGTGGGGAGATGGTGGAGAAGAGGAAGTTGCTTTATTGCTGTTTCTGTTTAGAAAAGTAATACCTGTCTATTGTGAACAATTCAGAAAAATATGTGGAAGAAAATAGAGATCAGCTTCAGTTTATTATCATGTGGTGACAACTACCAGTAATGTTTGTGTGCATCCTGGTGTGGTGCTGTGGGTTAATGCACCAGACTGCAAAGCCATTTGAACTGCAAGGTCGGTGGTTCAGGTTCACCAGCTGCTCTTCGGAAACCCTATCCAGGGCTGCTATGGGTTGGAACTGACTTGACAGTACTTAACAACAATAGTCTACCTACACCTTTTATAGCCACAATCATTTATCCTTAAATGATTTTTGTTACTTGATAAGTACATTTGAGAAACATTTTTTTACATTTGTTAGATATCTTGAGTTCCTTAAAGGAGCTTAAAATACCAGATGGAGGCATTTGGAAGTACTCTTTTTTTTTTTTAA